TACTTCAAGCCCCCCAAACCGCAGAACTTTCTCTCATTTTGAGTCCAAATGTCTGAGTGACCCTGGTTTCAAGCCCTCAAAACACCTGACAGTTAATCTCCATTTTTACACTTGTGCAAATTAGCCTGGTTTTGAGCACCCAAATTCAGCATTTGGTCTTCATTTCTGAGCCCAAACACACAAGACGTGGTCTCTCCTCAGGCCCCCAAAAATGCAGGAATCGATCACTGCTTCTAAGCCCAAAATGTGGCCACCTAAGGCCGGGAGGACTTTGAGTCTTGTACAGCACGTGGGCCTTGAAACCAGGCTTATGTGACCAGTGTTAAAACTGAGAAATGGAGATGAAATCTCTGCCTTAAACCACCAAAATGCAGCACTTGGTCTCTGCCTTAAGCCCTAAAAACACAGGTCTTAGTTCTGTTTCTGAGTCCCAGAATTGGCCATATGAGTCTAGTTTCAGGAGTCCAAAATGCAGGATTTAGTCTGCTTTTAAGCTCTGAGCCTGAATTTTGAGCACCCAAAACGCAGCACTTGGTCTCTCTTTTGACCAAGTGAGTCTGGTTCTGAGCCCCCAAACACAACAGCGGGTCTCTGCTTGTGAGCCCAGAATCGCAGGACTCTGTGTGAGTTCCAAGCCCCCCAAACGCAGCGCTGGGTCTCTCTCTGTAAGCCCCCAAAATGACCCGGTGTGGTGGTGGAACCTCAGCCGGCAGCTCCGCACCGGCAGCCGCTCGCTCATCCCCAACCCATGCGGTGGGATTGGGAAAGGAATGGGAGATAAAACACAGCCCGCGGGGTGAGATCAGAACAGTTTAATAATGGACACCAAGACAAAGATGACAGTGTAATATCAATGGCAACACACAATACTGACGGCAGTAACAATGACACCGATCGCTGCCCCAGCCCCGCGTTCCGGAGCCCCCGCCCCGCCCCTCGCCCCGCCCCGGCAGAGCCGCGGGATCGCAGAGCCCCGAGCCCCAAACGCAGAGAGGCCCATCCCGCACAGCAGTCATGTCCCCGGCATCAGTCACAAGGGACAC